TGTAGCGCGCGTGCGGCCAGAACATCTAAGGGCATCACACGATCTCTGTTATTGCCTCCAACTTCCTTTGGTTTGATTACCCAAAAGTCCCTCTAAGAAGTCCACAAACCTACCAAAAATGGTAAGCGGAACTATTTAGCACGCGGAGGTCTCGTTCGTTAACGGAATTAACCAGACAAATCACTCCACCAACTAAGAACGGCCATGCACCACCACCCATAGAATCAAGAAAGAGCTCTCAATCTGTCAATCCTTACTATGTCTGGACCTGGTAAGTTTTCCCGTGTTGAGTCAAATTAAGCCGCAGGCTCCACTCCTGGTGGTGCCCTTCCGTCAATTCCTTTAAGTTTCAGCCTTGCGACCATACTCCCCCCGGAACCCAAAGACTTTGATTTCTCATACGGTGCTGACAAGGTCATTTAAAGTAAACGACTAATTCGGCCATAACGTTGCCTTCCATTGTTGCCCATGGCAGTGGGCGGTCTTGTGTAAAGTATACACTTTTTGAAGTGGGACCAGGACTCGGGTAGACTTGTCAAGAGTTGGCACACTCGTTCTTGGTCATCAACGGGTTTTCCTTGGCGGGCTAGTTTGTCGGCTAGAGTCTTTAGATTGTTGAGGTGCGTAGTCATTTCTTGTCCGTCTTCGTACTTCAGCGATATGAAGTTCTCACGCATTGCCACTAGGTTCCCCCAGTTTTTGGCCTCATACGTTTGCTCTAAGTACTCTAGCACTTGGTAGGCGTACCGCTTTGCACCAACACTTACCACAAGATCGTCGGACAGCGTTTCCAGCAAGAAAGCTTTTGCTCTACGTTCTCGGTGCCAAAACCTGTCTTCGTCATGCCTTGAGCCACTGCGTGGCGGACGTTCACGTAGCGTTGCGATGTCCCAGAGATCGTTCGCCTCCATTACGGCTCGTACACGCGTCTTCCATGCCGTGTAGTTGGTCCCGTCGAAGTTTTTCTCGGAGTTCCATTTCACCATGACCGCGACACCTCAACGGTAGCACGTTGAGCACAGAGAAAGCTTGGGCAGATAACCTATTGTTCTTTTCAAGGTAGATTGAATAGTGCTAGCGTTAGAAAGCACTCTGTGGTGAGGGAAAACCATGACCAACCAAGGCGATGTTGGTCTGGACTAAAAGCCTCCTAAACTACGACGCTACAGTCACCATCTAGAGATGCTTGTTCGGCTTGTGCACGCTGAAATCCAACAATGGTGATACTGTAAATGAAACGGGAATCCCGCCTGTGCCTGCATTTCGATAAATATCCAGTTGATCTAAAGATTTGTAGTCTCAATAAACAGCTTGAGGTCAATACTACTGTAGTAAGAGCGTTGTCCGAATAGAAAAAGTGATTAATTTTCCCACGACAACTTTTTTTCTGCGAAGAAAAAAATGAGGCCAAATAAATCGTCGCATGTCCAAGTCTCCGCCCACCAAACCTATTTAAATTCATACAATCATTTTGATAGGTTGTTTCCCTTGCACTTCGATTCCGCACGCGCATTGCTGAAAGAAGACGGCCAGCTGGAGCACGCTATGTCTACGCAGGAGTGCAGCAACGCTTTGGCAAGTGAAGAGACCCCTCCAATTGCAGGCTTATCTGAAAGACTCGTGGTGATTTGTGGGAAGGAAATGGATCCAGTGCTGTGGTCTGAAGCCTCCAGCATCGAAAGCGGGGAAGACTCTCAGCAATCGTCAAGCGAAGCTACTGAAGCCCCACCGACAAAGAAAGCTCGACTGGCCTCCGATCAAGTTAACGTGAGAGCATCACGTACGAGCATCCCGACCAAGAAGAAGGCTGTTTCCAAGAAGAAGACCGCCCACAAGAAGACGAAGAAGGCAGCTCCCAAGAAGAGCGCTTCTGCTAAAAAGACATCCGCTCCGAAGAAATCTAAGACCTCAGCCCCACTGATGCGCTGGACGGTCGCGCTGACAGCGCTAGCAATTGAAACTCGCTACAAAAACCCGCGTGTGCTGAAGAAATTTGCAGTGTCGACAGCAGACACGAAGATGATGCGTGCAAAGTGGGAAGCCACGGTCCACACATTTCAGGTAACGAAATGGTCTCCTTCCTCGTCGTCCATGCCATCAGCAGCTTCATCAAGATCTCCACGCAGCTGTGTCATTCCAGCGTAGCGAGAGGCACTGTAGTCTGCGAGTTGGCTCCGTGTTGATGAGCTACTCGACAATTTTCTCTCGCCACCACCTTCTATGCTGAACAAAAGTGGTCTGTCTTCCTTGTCGGAATCCGTACACCCCTGGACAGCCCCTAGTTCTCTTGCCAGCGTCGTATTTGCTTCATAGTTGCTGTTTTCTAGCACAATGACGGCATCATCCCAGTTAAAGCAAGCATCAAGAAGAATCATGACGACTAGACGCACCAGAGTCAATGGCCATCGGCATCACACCCTCCGCGACGCTCTCCGTGACGCCCTTCGCGACGCTTGTGTGTAAATGCACGCTTTGCTCCGCGCAGAAAGCTTCCTCCATTCCGCACTCGACTCGCCACTTCAACAATAAAAAATGAAGCGCGACTCGAAAGAAATAGGTGGCGAGCCTCTTTCTTTTTACCGCTTTAAAATGAAGCGTCTGCGGCACCTCGTTTTTCTTAGCGCTACTTCACAAAAAAAAATAGGTGAGAAATATAGATCACTTTTCTATTTGGACAGCGCTCTACGGGCGATCTGTAAGAAAGTTTGGGGGTTCTGTGATTATCAAGTTGGAGCCTTCAACAGTTGAATCAACTTGCAGTGCAAGTGCATTGCAAGTGGCAGGTCAGAAACGATTTCGCGTCACATCGTTTGACTTCAAGAGCGACGATTCTTAAGCGGTTTATCTCACTTGTATCCTGGCTGAATGACAGTGTATAGCACAAAACGTATTCCTAAGTACACTGTAGCTCTATTGACGCATTAGTTTTTCTCTCCGTGGGCTGCTGTCTGCCGACAAGGATGCATAAGCGCAACCGCTTTGTGTATGTATCGACTCTATTCGTACAGCACGAGTACAGACTCGTACTTCTCTGGCCGACATGTCGGTCGACACACTGTATCATTAACGTACTGTATCAACGTCATCATTATATTGGTACCTACTGTACAGTTCCTCTATTAACATTCCTACCTCAAAACGAAATGCAAAGACAATTTATATTGATGTAGAACAACGACCAGCACGCTACAATAATGTAATTTTAATACGACCAGCGCTGAGTAATACGAGGTGAAGGGAGCAACTATCATACATTTCCTTTCAGGAGACGTAAATGCAAAGAGTACATGACTGATAATTATTAAAGGACGGTAGCGGTACCTTTGGCGGCAGCCTTTTTATAGTTCCACTTGACAGCACGCTACAGTACTGTCAATATCAAATCGAGTTCCGGCTATATACATGCATTGATTAGACCTGTCGGAAAGTGGCAAATGCGGGAGTAATGGCGCGTTATCGTAAACAAAGGACGTCTACCGCATCGCCCCTGTCCTATTAATAAGCGAAGTTCGAAGCAGACTTCGATTATGGTCAATGACAGTGCTTTATTAAAAATGCACTTCCGCGGGCTAATAATAGGAGGGCGACAGTGAGCAAATATGTAGGGGTGTCAACGGCGGTTTTTTTAATTTGATCCCAGTCTTGTCTGCCCGGCTACCAATGTGGGCTTTCACAGCAAATCGGTATTCACCAATTTGGTACACTGTCTACGGTAATTAGTCTTACTGAGACTATTTTATGTGTTTAGTCTGTACGTTTAGTCACCATAATTGGTCTGACTTAGACTATATAGTGACTAATACTTTTTACAAACTCTAAAATAGTAACAAAAACATTGATTGAGCAGGGACTACCGTTACACGAAGAAGCACTGACGACTCGGCCGATTTGGTATCAGTTACTGACTTGTTCAAAACGTATTAACTGTGTCATTAACGCGTCAGGTGTGATTCGCATCTACAGGCTCGGCACGATATGTTTCTTTATGATATCCTGGAGATGGGAATAAAGCTGCTTAACTGACCACACACCGTCTAATCCAAGCGACAAACCACACTGTATCACCGCCTTACGCGCATGGGAGATATCGCTCTTGTCTTTTTGAAGGTTGACTGATTTCACTGCCTCTGCAGCAAGTTGCAGGAAAAACTTCTTGCCTGGATTTTGAAGCTTCCCGGACCACGAACCATCCTTCCGTATTTTGTTTTGTCAGCAGCTTTTCTTAACCAATTCCATATTCTTCTCGTTCCACTTGACCTTCCACACGTCCTTTATCATAGAGATTACGAATGAGTCTGCTGGTTGACCGATGTCTGTCGCGTTTGGAGGAAACAAAATTGAGATCAGATTGATAGCAACAGGCTCGACACGGCATTCCCTAGACCAGGGCAGATATCAAGGAAGATAACTTTCTTTTGTTCACCCACGTCTGCACGCGTCACTCGCCTCTCATTGGGATATTCTTGAAACAACCTTTGACTCATCCATCCCTTCTTGCTCGAGCGATAGCATACCCCGGGAGTTTTGTCTGGAGCTCCGTGGATAGGGTAATTTCCACTTGAGCTCATAAAAATCATCTTTTTTGGGTGTATCCGCGCACTCGGTCCGCCAGACAGTCTGACGACCATCGTCATTCCGTCTCCTCCTGACAATACGTCGGCATATTTGACAGTCTCGTCACCGCAAAATTCGAGTGTCTTACCGCTGTCGAAATCCACGACAAAGTGAGTTTCGTCGATGTTCTCGATTGCATTTTCATCGAGCGATCCGTCTTCAAAACCTCGCTGTAGTTCACCCAGATGGAACGACACTTCTTTCTCTGTGTGCAAAATCTCTGCCTCGCTGAGCTGTTTCTTCTCAGTCTGAGATCTAATAACGATCTAATGGTCCTCCATAAAGCTTTGACCCCACTGCGATGTTATTTTGTCAATGATTAGCGCACCTTTTGAGTCGACACTCCTGTAATGAAAGGGTCCAGTGCTGCTTCGGATGATATCCTTGGCCAACTGCAATAACAATGCTGCAAATTTGACGCCAAGTTTGCGGAGTCTGTCAAATTTGTCTAACAGCCGAGTTGAAAATAGCAGGATATTTGTCGACAGCCTTTGCATAAATGCCTTTAGCTCCTCTGGTCGCCTCGTACACTTTCATCCAACGTACAGGTTTTCGACGGTGAGCAATACTGCTTACGGATTGTGCGTGGCGCAAAGATTGACTTGACTTTTAAGGTTTCTGCTGAGACAAGTCAAGTTCAACGTCGGAATTACTGTCCAGCAACACCACGGCATCTGCCATGGTATTTAGTGCTGAGGCATTATCTGGTGCATCCTGGGTCTCTTGGTCAACGTGGTCATATTTGGGACAAACCACAGATTGTTCGAAGCCTTCACTTCCTGTGGAACGTCCACAGAATGGATGCATGTGGCGGGAGCAG